CCTTTTGCCGGTAGAAGCGGTTGACCATGTTGCAGGTCTTAAACTATTTGGTGGATGTTCAGCTGTTAATCAATGTGAGCCCTATGATTCCATTACCCCTTGTTAGAAATGCACCAAATATGACTCAAGTATTGAAACCTTTGTTTGAATTTTCATGTGAATATCATTGATCACTTGATATGTTCATGTAGTGATTGCTCACTTGATGGGTCGCTGGAAACATGTTGATATGTTATAAGTATGCCTTATTTTTACTTTTTACGTAATGAAGCGAAAAAAAATAAATTGGAGCCGTAGCTTGCTGGTTTTTCCACCATCCAATCACCAACGCATAAGGGTTCCCATTCGAGCGAGGGCCCAAACGGGGTGAGCATGGGCAGTCGGTCTAGGCAAAAGTTATGCGCTTTCGATATAGCACTTTATGTAAGTTGTTTCAAAACATGAAAAATTGTTGTTTGTGATGAACAGAAAATCATTTGTTGTTTCTCTTTGAAAATTAATGAAACACATAAACTAAATATGTTGTTTCTAGCAACTGTTGTTGTTTGTGACTAACAGAAAATCGTTTGTTGTTTCTCTTTTAAGATTAATGAAACACATAAACTAAATATGTTGTTTCTAGCAACTGTTGTTGTTTGAGGATTGCAGAAATCTAAATCTGCTTTCTGGAAAACTGTCTGCATGTTTTACGGAGCGATATTATTTTTTACAGGAAAGAAAAAACCCAGAAATTGTCTTGGTGTATTACAGTTTTTGGTCGAAGACAGCGACTGTAGGAGTATTCCTTGCAAATAAAAACAAGGAATATTCCTTGCAGATAAAAACACAACAAGAAGAACAGCGGAAACCAAAATTTATAAAAAGGAATCTGTATTTAATTTTTAATGCAGTTCTCAACTGCAATAAAATATTAACAGTATTAACGTAAAGCAATTTGGCAACTGGAGGTTTCTGTTTTGGTGGGAAAGAAGAGAGTCAAAAGATCCCCAAAATAGAGAGAAAAAAAGCTCGAAAGATCGAGTCGAGGCATGTGTTAGATGTGATATCCTTAGAACATATTCGCCACAAACCCGAGACATCCAATTCCCAGGTACTCAAACATGCTTCTATATCAAAAAATTCACAGGTGTGTTGCAAATTCTGTGTATTTCAAAGGTAAACAGTAGAGTGTTGGCAATGTATATCTATAGATATTCATATATATCTTTTTCATATTTGTTTCCTTGGATATGTTTTAGGTAGTTGCTTGATTTTTGGAGATCTTGCTTCAATTTAGGATTTTTCTTGGGACCAAAGCTTCTCTGTACTKTGTATAAATTCCCTTTGCATCATTCTGATATTCAAGATAAATTTCTCCTAAAATCTCTGTGCTTTTACATGGTATCAGAGCATTCCAATTTCTCATGACGAAACCCAGTACTAGCTGGGGACGATGGAAAGAAGACATCTCTCCTTTTACAGTGACAGCAAACGACAACCCTGGGAATCTGATTACTCAGACCCAGTTGAAGGGACCAAACCAGGAAGAATGGGTGAAAACTATGAGAATTTCTCTCAGGGCAAAGAAGAAAAAGGGTTTCACTGATGGCACCATGAAACAACCAAATGAAGACTCCGAGAATATTGAAGATTGGTGGACCATGAATTCCATGATAATTTCATGGATTTATTACACGATTGAGCCAAGTCTGAGATCTACAATTTCTCAAACAGCAAAAGAATTGTGGGAAGATATTCAACAACGATTCTCTGTTTGTAATGGTGCAGGAGTGCACCAATTGAAACAGAGGTATCAAATTGCAAGTAAAACGGCGACACTGTAATGGCTTACCACGGAAGAATCAAGAAGATTTGGGATGATCTGAATGACTATGATCAGATGCCAATGTGCAACTGTAACGGGTGTAAATGCAATCTAAATGCAAAACTTGAGAAGAGAAGTGAGGAGGAATGAGTTCATCAATTTCTAATGGGACTTGATGTAACGTCTTATAGTACAATTTGTTCAAATATTATTGCTACTGATCCACTTCCAAATCTGCATCGTGTTTACTCACAGGTAACAGAGCGAAAGCAAGTAAAAACAATGACACAAAGCATGCTAGGACGCTCTGATCCAGTAAGTTTTGCTGTCAAAACAGCAAACACAAGCTTATGAAATCCAGGGGGGATCGAAGGGACGATGGTACCATTTGCTCTCACTGCCAGAAGCCAGGACATAGCATTGAAACATGCTTCACACTGAACGGATATCCGGAATGGTGGGTAATGGGCAACAAGGACGTGGAAAGAGAGGAATGGCAAGAGCAAATGCGGCTGAAGCACCAGGAAACTCTGGCGTTGGAGCGGGACTTGTAGATGAAGACAAATCTGGATTAGAGAATCTAAGTAGTGAGGACTGGGCAACTTTAAAGTCTTCATGGAATTCCCACAGATCGGCCTCAAGCACACATTTGTCCAGTAAGAAAAAATTGCAATGGATATTTGTCACGGGAGCTTCACACTGCATGAGTGGTGTCGTTGAGTCCTTTACTAAATTACAAGACATTCCTCCATGTCCTGTATGGATGCCGGTGAACATGTCACAGCTACAAAGGAAGGAACTGCCTCTTTGGGAAAATTACTTCTCAAAGATGTTCTATTTGTGCCAAAACTTATCTGCTCAATTGGCTCGTGCTAAGAGATATATATTGAAATTCACTGATTGTATGTGTGTTGTACAGGACTGCACTTCGAGGATGTTGATTGGACCGGGTGAAGAACACAAGGGACTATATGTCGCAAAGGATGATCTTCCTATCCGTGTGCACAAAATGGATGGAGTTGGGAATGCAGAGTTATGGCACAGAAGGTTAGGACATCCCTCTATGCGAGTTGTAGAGGAGATTTCTCAAACCAATGGAAGTATTGAAGTTGGAAAAGGACATGAATATTGTGACGTTTCTTTTCGAGAAAAACAAACCTGGGTTCCATTTGTTCTTAGTCAAGATAAAACAAACAGTATTTTTGATTTAGTATATTGTGTTTTTCGGGTGCCTACAGAGAACCAACTTTTTGTGGTGCTACATACTTTTTAACCATCATAGATGATTGTTCTAGTGCAGTATGGATTTACTTGTTAAAAGGAAAAAATGAAGTTCCCCAAATTCTTTGGCCTTAACTAAAAGACAATTCAATAAACAAGTGAAATTTATCCGTAGTGATGATGGCACAGAACGAACTTGTTTAAAAATGAGTACTTTAAGGAGTGTGGTATTTTATATCAAACATCTATGGTTGGAACATTGCAACAAATTGAGTGGGTTGAATGGAAACGACGACATATTTTGAATGTAGCGATTAGCATTGCGTTTTCAAGCCAATTTACCCATTTCAATTCTTTTTTTGGGGGGGGGGGGGGGGAATGCATTCTTACTCCTATGCCAATATTGGGTGGGAAGACACCTTACGAGCTCTTATTTGGTCATACATCACTTTTCTTAAGAGTATTTTGGTTGCCAAAAGAAAAGGATACGTTTGCTGATCGAAGTAGAAAATGGTGCTTTTTTGGGTTATCCTAATGGAAAGAAGGGGGGGGGGATGCATTCTTACTCCTATGCCAATATTGGGTGGGAAGACACCTTACGAGCTCTTATTTGGTCATGCATCACTTTTCTTAAGAGTCTTTTAGTTGCCAAAAGAAAAGGATACGTTTGCTGATCGAAGTAGAAAMTGGTGCTTTTTTGGGTTATCCTAATGGAAAGAAAGGTTGGAACTTGTATGACTTGGAAATGGGAGTTCTTTTTTAATCTTGTGATGTGTTTGTTGAAACCGAATTCCCGTTTGAGAGTATCAATGCAAATCCAGATAACGCAATGAATCCTTTTTCTTCTGATGAATCAAGTAGTGTTGAGGAAACCATACATCTTGTATTTCATTCCCAAGATAAGGCAGGAGAAACAGTAACATTTGATCCACCGATTGATTTTAGGAGATCTTGCTTAAATTTAGGATTTTTCTTGGAACCAAAGCTTCCCTTTCCCTTTGCACCATTGCAATGTTAAAGATGAATTTCTCCAATAATCTTTGTGCTTTTACACAAAGTATGTTATACTTATGCCAGCTGGTCATCAAGGAAGTCTAGAAATGAAAACACAACATGTGTCAAAAATCCACACAAGGAGGAGCAAATGGAACAAGAAATATTATTTGACATCATCAACTATTTTGCACAATCACCAGTTACTTATAGTAAAAGAATAAAATTACCTATGAATGTGAAATTTTATAAACTTGATATACGTAAATGTTATTACTTAAAGCTTGATTTTCTAAATCAAGTAAAGAGGGAAAGTAACAAAAAAATGGATACCACTATTTGCAAATAAATGTACTTTATAAATGAGTGAACTGATTTAGTTATCGTTGATAAAAAGAGATTCTAAATAGTAAAAACTACAACAGAAACAAATTTACTAGTTGACCTCGAAGATATCTGAAAAGTCTGAGCAAAGATTTAATAAACCCTTAACATTTTTAAGAACTATAATATATTTTAAAATTAACTAATAGTTTTATTATTAATTATTTTTGAATTAATTCATAACTTTACTATTAAACATATAGTATATTTTAATAAAKTTAACACAAACTYYTTTTCATATTGGTCACCCTAAAAGAACTTTGTTTATTTTATAGGTTGTTTGTTTACCTCTTAATAATTTCATTAAGAGGTCGTCTTTGAATCATAAAAAAGGTTAATCTTGTTTGACAAATAAAGTCTGTCCCTGATGATTTTAAAACCCAAATAATTTTATATTTTGGACTTCTCTTGACATTAAGTATCCTGATTATATTATAAATAATTACCAAATAATTATATAACTTTATCTATTAGGTTTATAACACGACCTAAATAGGCTTTACTCATTAGTATACGAGCAATTCTCCAAACCCTTCAACAAAACTAATAAATAAACTAATACCATAAAAATCGTGTTATCATTCGCATATCCCTTATTTTCCGGTCTCCTGCTCTCTCGTCTTCTTATCTCTCTGGCAACTGTTATCTCTTGCTACTATTGTCTGGTCTCTCCCTATCATATCAATCCCTGGTATGTGAACCCCATATCTATTCTAGGTTTGAAACAATAGTTTAAGTGATTTCTTTGGCGTTTTGAAACAATGATTCTTTAATGTGTTAGTATTTGGGTATATTTTCAAGTCTGCAGATTTCCTTTCAACATACGTCATCTTCGTTTCTTATTACCCTTGTTGTGTTCCTATCTTGGTTTTGTAATTACCCCCACTACTATGTTCCCGTTTTCTCCATGAACCCCAAGTGTTTGATAAAAGTTCCCAATGACAAAAAATTGAAGTTATAAGCTAATTCCTATAGGTAGTTTATCAGAGATGGTTGTGGTGTTGAGCATTGGTAGTTTAAATTGTATGTGTAGCAATGTATTATTTAGTTTTCTTGAGTTTGGGTGGTGTTCATGAAGATTTTTCAATTTAACATGTAGAAATTACCTATAACAAAGCCTGGGCTGAGATTTCTACCCAAGTAATCTGAATAAAAGTATGAAACATGCTCAATTAGTACAAAGCTTATAATACAATTGCACATAATGACATAAATTGATGCCGCATCATCCTCTAGCAGACATTATGAAGTTCATACTTTTTTACTTTTTTGTAATTGTATAAATGAAAAATATGTAGCTATGAACTGTGAACTACGACGTAATCAAAATTTTGTAATGGCTTAGACCAAGCAGTGACTTAACATCAACCCAAAACTATGCAATTGTGCTCTAAATCTTCAGGAGTAGTTGCATACTGGAAAACTGTTAGCCGTAGATGCATCAAGTTACAATAGGCACAAATTATTCACCCGTAATAAAACGTGGCATGGGTGATGGGACTATGGGAGTTAACCTATAAAGTTCGATTGAGTGAGATATGTTCTATACCTCAACTAATCATATCAATGTGTTGGTTAAGCCACGCTAGGTATGAAGATGAAAGCAGAACCCATATGTATGCTATCTCACATTATAACACCAAACTACAACAATATAAAGCATTGATGACTTGACTTGTTTGAGGATATTAAACTCAATGACAACATATTCTTACAAAAGAATGGTTCTATGGTTCTAGAGAAGAGCAACTCACCATGTCAACATTGCACGTCTTGTGAAGAATTTCTTAAATGAAGCCTATTTTTGCCTTTGTTGTTATTTCATTGTAAACTAATTTGTTTTTGAGCTTAAATATCAAATATTACTTTCGACTTTATGTTACCGAAAGTCTCTTGATCTTTGTTTGGTATGATTTTGTTATGAGCTTAAATTTCAGATTTCTGCATTTCTAATTGACTTCAGTTGTGATGACTTCTGTAGTTCTTTGCTTAGTTCAAATGATCAATTACTCCATGTTCTTCCACATTGATTCTAGTAGTTAGGACTTGGGTTATGTAGATTAAGCTTAACCGATACGGTCTATTTTACAATCATTTTAATTGAATCAGACTTTTGTTGATAAATTAGAAGCAGATGTTTATAGTCATGTGTACATTTTTATGTTGCGTTCTAAATGCTACATTGAATTACTTGTTGTGGCCATTGGATAAACAGATTCCAAAAGGCAACAATACGTGAAGCCGTATTATAGTTTAGCTCTTAACATACAACATATTTTTTTTTAAGTATATAATATTTATATACGGTAAATAGAACATATAAACACACACCCTCCTCACCTTTGGTGAGGTTTGAACCCTTGACCTTCTAGGAGGCCAATGACTCACATACCGCTAGGCCAAAAGCCCTTTGCTCTTTTTGCATCGGTAACCATTAGTTCCATATGTTTATGACCATTATTTGAGGACATAAATTCTAGCACACTTTGCTCTTTTTGCATCGATAACCATTAGTTCCATTGTTCATTTGGGAATGATATACCATGTGATGACCTGTGATGAACTATATATAAATGTTTTGATTGATCTATGTTATTTTGCAAAGGGCAAATTGCATGAAAAAGTAACGTACTTTAACTTGATTCCTATTTTGGGTAACGTACTTTCAAAACTTCCATTTTGGTACCTAAGATGTAAACTTTTAAACATTTAAGTGCATGGGTAACCGGTTGAAGCAGTAAGCGGTTACCTGTTGATGTGGCGAGTGATGTGGTATCCAATTCAGTATTCTTTGCTATTCAACCCAATTTCATCCCATCACTCGCCACATCAGCATGGTAATCGGTTAATGCTTCAACCAGTTACTCGGGAACTTAAATGTTTAAAAGTTTACATCTTAGGTACCAAAATGGAAGTTTTGAAAGTACTTTACCCAAAATAGGAATCAAGTTAAAGTACGTTACTTTTTCATGCAATTTGCCCTTTGCAAAATAACATAGATCAATCAAAACATTTATATATAGGTCATAACATGGTATATCATTCCCAAATGAACAATGGAACTAATGGTTACCGATGCATAAAGAGCAAAGTGTGCTAGAATTTATCAAGCGGTCATATTTCATTGAACATTAATCATACAGAGGGTTAAAATGGTAATTTTATGTCATTCAGACATTCGGTTCAGAACATTTACCACAAACCATTTATTATTTTGCACTAAATCATAGACAACCTCTTTATCATTCTGACTACTTAATCATTTTGCACCAGATCATTCAGCATCTGCCAAACAACCTCAAATCCAGACAAAGCACATGTCCAAACCCTAACATCTCCCTCTAATCAATAAACACAGCTCCATCTCCCTTCGCATCACCACCAAATACCAATCATGTAGTCAGCATCTAATTCAAAGCCAAAAATCGATTCAAACCCTACCACTGCATCACCATGGATCCCTTTGCCTCCCACCTTCTTATGCATATGCCTCTGTTCAAGCCCCTATTCTAGACACCTCCCTCTTCCCCATTGATTTGGCTTCGAGGATCTGAAAAAATGCCACATATTGGCTTCCATTCAAAGAAAAACGCAACCAAGGGGTTTTACTGGCTTGGATCCAAAGAACCCCCCCCCCCCCAACAAGGGTCTCAATTTGGCTTCTGGATTAGCAATGATTTGGTGTTCTATCTTTTGTTTCCAAAAACCCTAATTCAGAATCGAGGTCTCAGATTCGTCTTGTTGCTTCACAGCATCTGACCTGTGTTCTACTCCCTTCTTCGATCAAACCTGAAGGTTATGTGTTTTGTTTATGGGTAGCTTGATTTATCGTGTTTATTGTTGTCATGATTTGATTGTAGAAGATATAGTTACGTAACTTTTTGGCTATTAATTCGGAGATGCTTCTTCTGACTTTATATGTTTTCAATCACAAACTTTTTGGATGAACTTGTACAAATTTATTGTTCATTTCTTGATGTCTTAGGAGATCTTGTGTTGGGAATTATTGTCAGAAAAGTGTGATATTGTTTAACGTTTATGCTTGATCTTGTGTTTCACGGTAGGGTGATTGAGTTTGAATTTTGAAACTTTCTGTTTGAAATTTAAGCTTTCTGTTATGCTTATTCATCTGCTGCTACTGTTGTGTTTGGACTTTGGAACCTCGCCTATACACTTCATTTGTTCATTTGTTTGCTGAATTGATGCTGCCATTTACCCATTTGTTCATTTAAGCAAAAGAATGGCAATTTTGTTATCTACGACAGCTCCAGCTTCTTCAAGAACCATGACTCTAATTCTGAAGGTACACCGATCAATACGTTTTCTCCATTGTACAGGTAAACTTTGTTTTTCATTACCCTTTTCCATTTTAAATCCAAGAACATACTTGCCATCCTAGTTTGTTTGTTTAATTCCCCCTGTAGGTTTAAAAGATCAAAACTTCAAGAAGAAAGATTCATATGTTGCTTTATCTATAAATGGTAGTCCGTCTACAACACGTACAATCAATGATTCAAACCATGGGAAAAAATCAAGAAAAAGGTATAACAAGCAACAGCCTCTGTTAAGCGAGGGAAGAGACTACGATGCTAATTCTGGGCTTGTTTGTCCTGGTTGTGGAGTTTTTATGCAAGATGATGACCCTACTCTACCTGGGTATTATCAGAAAAAGAAGGTAGAGGTCACATATGTGTCTGAAGATGAGTTTATTGTGGATGATATTGATGGTGAACTAGAAGATGGTGATGTGGGAGGAGGGGAATTGGACAGTAAAGATGACGATGAGGGAAATGGTGAATTGGGGATTAAAGATGAATTTGATTGGGATTCTGATTGGGCATCCGATTTTGAAGATGATGAGGATGATTTGAGTAGGGAGTTGGATGGGTTTACTGCTGCCGGTGTGGGATATGGGAATATTACAGAGGAAGTACTGGAAAAAGGAAAAAAGAAAAGGGTGTCGAAATCGGAGAGGAAGAGGTTGGCTAGGGAGGCTCAGGTGGATAAGGAGGAAGTCACTGTTTGTGCGAGATGTCACTCATTGAGAAACTATGGACAGGTCAAAAATCAGACTGCTGAGAACTTGATACCTGATTTTGATTTTGACAAACTTATCAGTACTCGGTTGATGAAACCTACAGGGAATGCCGATTCCACGGTTGTAATCATGGTTGTTGATTGTGTAGATTTTGATGGTTCATTTCCAAAACGAGCTGCGAAATCTTTGTTTAAGGCACTAGAAGGAGGTCAGGAAGGTTTGCAGCGTAGTAAGAAGTTGCCTAAACTGGTTCTTGTGGCAACAAAGGTTGATCTCTTGCCTTCCCAAATTTCTCCCGCTAGATTAGACAGATGGGTTCGACACCGTGCTAAGGCACAAGGGGCACCTAGGCTGAATGGAGTGTATATGGTTAGTTCTCGTAAGGATTTGGGTGTTAGAAATTTGCTATCATTTGTTAAGGATTTGGCTGGACCTCGAGGGCATGTATGGGTAATTGGGGCACAAAATGCTGGTAAATCCACATTGATCAATGCACTTGCTAAGAAAGGAAGTGTAAAAGTTACTAAGCTTACTGAAGCTGCAGTTCCTGGGACAACACTTGGTATTTTAAGAATTGGAGGTATATTATCGGCAAAAGCAAAAATGTATGACACACCAGGTCTTTTGCATCCATATATAATGTCCATGAGACTCAATAGAGAGGAGCAAAAGATGGTTGAAATACGGAAGGAACTACGTCCTCGAACATATCGAATTAAGGCAAGCACTTCTTTCTACCTTTTGTAGGTTGGATTTTGCTGCTCCCTGTTGCTGTTTTATACCTTTTTTCCTAATTCTTGTTTCTTTCGTATTTTTGCGTTCCATCAGCGGGTAATATTTGAGGTTTTTAGTACTCACCGAAAATTTCTTCTTGTTAAAGATTAGCACGACTGAATATAAATTTACAATGCAAGGGTTGAAGCTTTAAATATCATGCTAAAAATTTTCAATTACTACATTGCACTATACAAAAAGCTGTATGAATGGGGAACGCATGATGTTACAAAAAGGAAAATAGTGAATCTTAACATTGATATTGAAGCCCTAGCTTTCTGTTGAAATCTCAAATGTGGTCAGTTAGAATTGAACAAAGGAAGTTGCACATTTATAAAGGTGCACACACCTATGAAGAAACAGACCATACATTGTATCTGATACAAGATGTTGGTATTTTGCAGCAAGGCCAGGCAATACATGTTGGAGGTCTGATGAGACTAGACCTAAATCAAGCTTCTGTGCAGACTATTTATGTTACAGTTTGGGCCTCGCCGAATGTTTCTCTACATCTGGGGAAGATTGAAAATGCGGATGAGATTTGGAACAACCATGCTGGTATTAGATTGCAGGTACGAGACTTGTGTAATTTGATGCAGTTCAAGTGGTAGATTTTTAGTACCTTTCATTATGGTTATGCTAAGTAGAGCTTTTGTGTGCTACTATAATATATTAATATCTCGACCCATAAACACATCTTCTACATTATTTATTTAGGGTAGGGGTTTTTACGGTGTGGTGCGGTTTGAGCATTTTCTCAAACCTTGGCGCATATACCTCAAACCTAAAAAACCGCACTGCGAAATCGCGGCGTGGTGCAGTTTATGCGATTTTTACCTAATGCACTTAAATCCCGATAAATATAAAATCGTGAGTTCAAAACAAATTCCACAATTATGCGTCCATACAACAAAATTTCCAACACGTCCCATATACATAATAAAAAATGATCCCAAACAAACTAAAAAGTTCCCTAATCAATATTAAACAAACTTTCAATTCAGGAACTCGTCTCCCCATGACCTTCTCTTGAATTCTCAAAACTTCTGTCGCTGCATCCCCTGCTCATTCAATGAGCATTCTCAATATTATGCCATTTCTTAGTTCAAGATCCCTCTTACTAACTGGAATCAAAAAATTAGTAGATCTATCATCAGCAGCAGATGATTGAACAGCGGATGCGTTGAGGAGATCAGCCCTAATTGAAGACCGCACAAAATGGTAAAAAAATAAAAAAGTTCCAATCCATGTTGGCTTTCAGTCCCGACTCCCGATTCGATTAGGTCTCAAAGACTTGAAGCCTCAAACTCAAATGGTTGAACTTCCAAACACACCATCACTCACACGACCGAATACCTTAACTCTCTAAGAGGCTATCTATTTGGACTGCTTTTCTAATGGACCATGGCAGAGGGCTGTGATTTTGTATAGACTGCATCACCATACCTCTAATTATCTACAATTTTTTTTATTATATCTTTGTATTTTTCATAAAAATAAAATATTTTATCATATATATAGACTTGGGATCATATAGGAACTTTTATCTTTCGTAGGAACCACCTCATAGCCCTTGGATGAGTTTTTTTTGTTTGATCAAAAAGCTGGAAAAGAAACCCAATTGTATGACCGTAAGTAAATGGAATTTTGACATAAGTTAAGATCTGCACATGTGCTACGGAGGTTAACATACATAATGCACTAAACATATCTTAAATGAAAATGTTAACATACGTTAAAACACCTTGACATTAAAATGTTAATATACGTTTAAAAAAGCGGTCTTGACGTCCAGATGCGGAAAACCAAAAGAAGAAAATGCCCCCTTCTTCACAAAACAGATATGCACTGATCGTCATTGGATGAAACACCTGAAAAATGATCGACGAACATGATTGGGCTCATACGATTCCCACAAAATGTTGAAGTTCTTACCGTCTATGCTGTTAATCGCACCACGAACAAACGTCTGTGCAACTCTACAGATTTTCATGAGAAGGTTGTGTAAATATCTCTAGCAGTACCGTGTGGCATTTTATAGGCACAGCTAGTCTGCGAGTTTTGATATATGGTCTTAAGTTTATGTGGCCGACTCTCCAATTCTTCTTTTGTGCTTGGATTCTATTGTGTTGTCTGTATCCTTCCAACTTCCATCCAGTTTACCCGAAGTTGAGGCTGGCCGAGGAGTGAAGGTAGTCATGAGGCTATACTTGATTAATTCCTTACGTACTTAATCATACCAATTGGGTTTAGGAAATATGATTTATATAGGAAATATGATTTATAAGTGTGAAGGAACTAACTATGCAATGTATGATGAGGATGCTGCTGACAGTGAGATACATATTGCTTTGTAGAATGCCGTGGAGCTTCTTCCATGAAGTCTTCTACTACTACAAACCTGTGAAACCTTCAGTTGTCATACCATCAAAAATCTTCATCACGCAGAGTGTGAACAACGTGTTTAGATGCTTCCTAGATGCTCTTCCATTTTTCTATCTTTTACTGGCCAGAGGGCATGGCTTCTAAGGAGTTAATGGCTCTTATAGGATCACTTTTGGAAGACCTAGTTCTTCAGGTTCTCAAACAGTTGGTTCATTGTTCTTTGCATACAAGTAGCAGCCTCAGTTCTTTGGATCCTCTGCTAGTTGTTTGAAGTGGGTCCACAATGTAAAGCAATGTATGCACTCTGTATTCAGTTAAATTGCCAGCGGGTACACAAGTTAAGACTTCTTGCACATGTGTCACAATAGATAGGTATGCGCATCACAAAGAACTAGGTCTTGCATGAGTGACCAAAATATGGAGGTTAATCTGTTCACATTTCATTAAACTTGCTGATATTCACAAAGCCTTTGGGAGCTTTTGTTCATAGATCTTGCTGGCTATTTTCTGTTTCCTGTTAGGAAAACTGATATGTATCAAAACACTAAATGTTTATTGATGGATTACATTTGGAAGTATATTATCAATAACCTCTGGATTTCTTTTGTTTCAGCCGCCATTTGGTGTGGATCGAGTGTCTGAATTGGGAAAGTGGGAATCGAGGGAAGTCAAGGTGTCTGGAGCAAGCTGGGATGTGAACAGCGTCGACCTATCGGCTGCAGGCCTTGGTTGGTTTTCTTTGGGTTTGAAAGGTGAAGCGACCTTGACATTGTGGACTTTTGATGGCATTGAGATAACAGCCCGAGAACCTTTGGTACTTGATCGTGCACCATTTCTTGAGAGACCTGGGTTTTTACTGCCAAAGGCTGTATCAGATGCCGTTGCCCACCAAAACGAAGCTCCGTCCCAAAATGAAAGCGCACTGGTCTGATCCTTTTCACATGCTGAACTGAGATTCATGCTTGTCTTTTGGCGACACCAAAAGCATTCAATGGTGCTTCGCCATTTTTTCAACGACAAGCATGTGAGTTTTTTATTTCTATAGACGCCCTGTTAGTGTATGTTGATATAACAAAACTGATTCGTCCATATTTTAGTGCTACATAGCTTTGTTGTATTTCTTAATAATTTATAGAATTTTGTACATCTTATTTGTACTCGTAGATTGAAATGAAATGATGTTACCGTTCTCGATTCCCACATTTGTGTATTGTCTTAGTTGTGGCGGACTCCTTAGGTTTCTCTTAACTTGTCAATAAGGTTATGATCTCAACTTCAAGTTGATCCCAATAAAGGTAGTTTAGCTCCGTTTCTGTTGGCAATTGGGAGTGACAACGGTTCGATTAAATTGGTTTTTTAATTTTACACGTTTGAGCCATTGTCTTTGCCTTGTTGGATACAACCACCACCAGTCCACCGCTTGAACCAGAAAATGAACTGCCCACTTGTTCTTCCGTTCAAAACTAAACTGAAACAGGGCTACTAACATATTCAGACCTGTAGTTTCAGTATGATTTAAGGCAGTTTTGTTGGTTTTGCTTTTTCATGTTCACCCCTTCTGGCAAATAGCAATGACATTGCTCGACTCCACTCGTTTGCACTTCAAAGAAGACGCAATGTCTTGAATTACTTCTGCACTGGTTTTCTAGGCTAGTCAAAATAGTAGATGTGAGGGTATGAACATAGATTATTTATACCCTCACATCCACTATTTCAAGGTTTTGACCTAGGTAAAATAGCATTCTATTGGGCAAGTCCTGAATTTTAGAATTCAGAAGGAATTTCACGTGGGGACTATGAAAATTTATTGGTGAGGTAATACTTACCAAGATGATGATATGTAGCCGATCCGAGAGGATAATAAACCTTGAGTATTTACATTTGGTTATTTACTTATATTGTAATCAATCAATCAATATATATATATATATATATATATATATATATATATATATACTTGGGATCATGTGAGACCAGCCTGTTTTCGTGAGACCCGTGAGACCAACATTTTACACTTGAAACTTCACAGCAAAATGCTTTGAAGGTGACTTTTTAAAACCTTCACAGTGTTTTTGCTGTGAAGGTTCGACTTTTTTTAAACCTTCACATTGTTTTTGCGGTGAAGGTTCGACTTTTTTTAAACCTTCACAGTGTTTTTGCTGTGAAGTTTACGTGTAAAAATGTGGTCTCACGGGTCTCACGTGAACTCCTATATATATATATATATATATATATATATATATATATATATATATATATATATATATATATATATATATATATATATATATATATATTTGGGATCATGTGAGACCATATTTTTTTTAGACCCGTATGACCAATTTTCAACTCTTGAATTAGATCTACAATCTTATAATCACAAAATTGTTACGAGACTTCTCAATAATCACAAAATTGTCACCGTACAACTTTAGACAGATCATTAGCTTATAAAGTTGATCAGTGAACATAAATTGGTCTTACGGGTCTCACGAAAAACCCTTGGTCTCACGTGAACCAACCTTATATATATATATATATATATATATATAGGGGCAGGTTCAAATGAAGACCGTCTAATTCTAAAAAACCGTGTAAACCAAATTCGACCAATCAGAAAATTCCATTTTTTTTCAATTAAATTTAATGAATAAGGGTATTTATGTCATTTTAAACATTTATTTTATAATTAAGGAAGTTATTAATACATATTATTTAAGAAAATTTAATAAAAGAAATATTGAAAAAGGTAACGTTTCAACATTTAAGTATATTATATTATTAAATCTTGATTTTAATGATTTGGTATTCAATTAATCATGAAACAATTTATGAAGATTTCAGCAAATATATGAATGAAATCGTAGGTTGCTGCTGGTTAGGGAAAAAAAACAAATGTTCATGAAACTCTATAAACATGAAGAGGTTTCATATGTCAATGAGTTATTTGCTTCTTCAAAGCATATGGTATAAATCAATGAAACAGTGTCATGATGGAGAAAAATTTTATATTCTAATTGATGCATGATTCGTGAAATATTTTCATGGTGTTCCGTATTGTTTTGTGATTCAAGTTGATTCGTTTAATTGGTATAATGAAATGAGTTCATTAAAACGAAACAGTTTCATTTTCGTAAAACATTTTTCATTCTTTAATTGATTCGAGATTAAAGAACTAGTTTCATGGTTGGACAGTTTCATTTTATTGAACAT